TAATACGATTTAAATCAGGCCAAAAAATCGTATCTTTTTTCATCTATAATTTTTTTTTGAAATATTTTTTTTTTTTCCCATTTTTGTGTATTGCAGTCATGCTGCTTTTATGCTTTTGAAAAAAAATCAAAAATAGCTTAAAATATTCATTTTTATCCTCACTGTGTTCTTCAGAGCTACAATTGCAGATTTAAAGTATGAATTTTTTTTTCCCCTTTTTCAAAAGAACTTAAACAAATAGATGCATATTTCAATTGTTACTATAGAAAATCATTGTGTAAATGAAATACTGATTATAGCAAATCATTTTGTAAAGTAAATCATTGTGTAAAGAAAATCATATACATGCATATTTCTGTGATTATTTGTGATAATTTTTTTATGAAAATACTGTTTATGGTACAAGTTAGAGCTCAAAACATAGTCTTTTAACGAATGTGAAGCTAAGAGTGTGATTGCAGGACCAAGTAATCAATATTTTGTTTTTGATTATGTGATAACAAAAATAAGCAATATAGTATAAACGGTAAACTTACATGAGCAAGCAATTGTACATACTGGATTAGTTCCCCAAACTTAATCCTTCAGCTCTGCTTGTTGTTTCCACGAGAAAATGAAAACCTCTTCCTTTTCTACCTCTAAATATCATTCAGGGCCTCTTCAAAAACTTATTCCATTAGAGTTTGTGAAACAGATGACTTCTTCCTTCTTCCTTCTTCTCTCCCTATAAACCCTAATAGCTATGAGCCTTGCCTTATTTTTTTCTCGTCCTTATTTATTTTTTCTCTCTAAACCGTAAACACAAATATTTGAAACCCAAATTTCTACAACCCTCTTTTCAATTAAAGAAATTTATAAAGCTTAACCATACTTATGGAGTGACCATAATCACCATACCATAGTTAAATCATAATAATGAGAAAACAAACATCGTATATTTTTTTTGGTACTTACTAAGTACGTATGATGTTTTTTAAAGTATTTAATGGTTAAATTTCTATGGTACTTTTTTTTTTTTGGGTATATGTTAGTTAATTATGTATTTAGTATTGGATGATTGGATGAGAGTCACGAGGCATTTAAATTAATTGACTTAATTATATTAGTCTAGTAAAAAATTTATGGATGAATTAGTTATCAATGGTTTTGATATAATTTTTCTTTTTTAGAATTTAAAAATTTATAATATTATAAATTCAACTGATTTTTTTACTCTAATTTGTTTAGCCTAATCCGATATATTAACGATAACTTTATATGAAGTATTTTTACCGATCCATATTTTTAACCTGATATTTTCATCCGACTTTTTAAAATAAAAATGATTTGTTTTCAATTTTATGGTGAGCCGATTTATTGATAGTCCCCAACTTGCTAACTATGGTTAGGACCGGACTTGCTAACTATGATTAGGACCTGACTAGTGAGGGCACTTGTTTATTGAACCGGATATGCTTACAGGCATACATGCCTAGTAAAGTAAAAACCGGATCTGTTCACACGTAGATAGGGCTAATAAATTGCAAACAAGAGAAAGTTTATATAAGGTTGCAACTTTATAATGTATAAATAAGAGGATTTCAACTTTAACTTTCTAATGGATTCGTTTGATTTCAAAACATATGACTATAAAGAAAAAACAAATAAATTAAAAATAATAATACATCTTGTAAAAGTTTATGTAGACCATCTTTTTTAATATTCCCAAGGGTTTGTATATATGCTTAATTCTATACTATTTTTAGAATCTTCAATTTTATGAATTATGGTTGAATGCAAATTTTCCATCATCAGATTTTGACAATGAAACGCATTACTTAACAAAATTTAAAAATGTGTTTTACTTCTATGGCCTGTTTGACAACTGCAAGCTGGTGTTATATAGAACTTGGAAGTTCCTTCTCCCTATGAATCTAGATGACATAGCTTCTAATACTGGAAAGTACTGTGTTTGGTAACTTGTCTATAATTTAGAAGGAGTCTGGAAAACTATGTTTGGTACCACCTGGAAGTTGTCAAACCCGGAGACCTGAGTAATCAGGTCGGGCTAGGACTGATTGCTCGGTTCAAGCCGCACTTTCTAACACTGGTTCAGAGCAACATACTAGTAGAAATACAAAGCCAATCCAAAGAAACACCTCTCTTTACCAAGCCATCAGCAATCTCATTAGCGTCTTTATAACCTGAAAGAAATCTCCAAAATGGCTACACAAATCCATCATCGTGATCTACATTGATCGCCAATTCCAGGGTAATTTAGATTATTTATTGTACCAATTAATCACATTAAAAAAATCTCCTTCTAGTATGCATAAACGCCCAAACTCCACTCCACTAAAATCTGCACCCCATGAAGGCGCAACTCTAAATTATGCAAGAAGATGTAGTTTGGGTATCATAAACCTTATAATGGCTTGAAAATCCTTGTTCAACCTTAAGTATGAAATTTCAAATTTCAAAATAGTACAGGTCAGGCAGATCTATAAAAAAATTGAGAACTTTGAAATAAATGGTCCGTATAACTTGTTACAAATATGTATTATTCTTCGGACTTTAAATTCTTTATTTTATATCCATATTTCTCGATATCAAGATAATCAATTAGAAGGTTTTCAAACCTTAAAACACTCTTTTGAGGTACAACTTAATTCTATATTATAAAGTAGCAATCTCATATAAACTTTCCCCTTTTTAATGAAAGATTTATTTGCACAACTATTCATGTTACTATGGAAGAATGAATAAGCATAATATTCTTAATTTATTTTCAGATTTTGAATTTTTTTTTAAAAAAATGTATTGAGAAAATATTTTCATCCACATTTGATTCTTAATCACTATCCCTGGGCGTATTCAATAAATTTATCGTTATTTTCAGCTCCAATAATTTATAGCACAAAATGTAGGGAAAATGGGAATCTCATCTCAAGTATTTGGAAGAAAGTTTCACATTAATTATTTTATATTGACATGAATTATTTTTAATGTATAAATAATCAAATTACATTCTTAATAAATATTTGCCATAAACAGGTATTATAAATTTCAATAAATCTTGGAAATCACGAGCATAATTACTGCTTCATACTTACAACATTGATTTGTATATTTTCTATCTTTATTTAATGGAAAACGAGTAAGGGTTATTCTCCCCACAAACTTACCCAAAAAAAATTGCTTCATACTAATAAATAAATGGGTTGGTTGTTCTATATCTCACCTAAATAAATGAAGGAAAAAGTTAATATGAGATTGTAACTTTACTTGTAAAAAAAAGTTTCCATTTTATTTGGACAAATGAGCAATATGGTTCATTATTTGTCAAGATATATCCTATGGTAGAGTAGAAAACAACAATGAAATATAAGGGTACAGTAAAGGACTAGAAGTGTGAGCTTTTTTAAGTTTCTCTTTAGGTGTATATTTTATTTATGATATTCAGTTATTCGCTATTGATTTGATTGCTAGAAATGAACCGACAATAGCACCAAGCATTAAATATGATGGGACACAGTTTAGCACTGTCATGTGGCATTGTTCTCACGTATTACTTATTACGATCAGATTAAGATTAGACGGCTATGCATCTCCATACAGAAATTCCATTCATTTAAGGACTCGTAAAAATGTGTCCTTTGGATATGTTATAAGATACTCCAGTGAAAGGACGGTCTCCCTCCAAGTGTTTGAAAAACTCAAACTGGTCTCGGAAAGGGCCGTTTCTGAGTAACAGGTAAACGGACTGGTTCAACCGTTTTAACTAGACAAGTCTTGGTCGGTTAAAAGTGTATTGAAAAAAAATATATGAAAAGTATATGTAAAGCATGATTAAATGGAGCACATTCAAGTGAAATTGAAAATTAGTGAAAACTTTAAAATTTAAAAAATCGGTTTGCACCTTTGGGTACTTTTGATTTTTTTTTTTTAAAGATGGAAAAATGTAAAAATAAGTATTCTTGGCCAAAATACTTTTCAATATTTGTCAAAATAATAAAAAAATTTAAAACTCATTACAAATAAATTCCTTATTTTTTTAAGATTTTATATAATTTTTTAAAATTTGTTTTTAAAATACCTAACCCTGATCACCCAAATTGGCTAAAATCAATCTGATTTTGAAATAACGACTCGTGTGATCTAGCCAGAGTATATAATAAATTTTTTTTCCTTTTGCAATTATTTCCTTTTCTTCACGGTCTAGATCACTCACAAATAGTCCTTTTACAATATAATAACTTCAACTAAAAATAAAAAATAACAATACAATAGGATCTCAAGAACTTGAAGCCATTAAAACCATATTTTTCATTAACCTAAGAAAATACACAACATATGCTTGAAAATAAAAAATATAATAAATAAATATAAAAGAAACAAAAGAATGTGTCGAGGATTACCTCGACCGGATTCTTACACCTCATATCAAGTCACCACCTTCTGATGGCACGGGATCTAATAGTCAACCTTCAATCTCAACGGTGAAAGCAAGTTTGGATAAGCCACGCCAATGGAACATGAACCACATATAGCAAAACCTCAAAACCCCCAAGTGGATCCCCTTAGCAACCTAATTTTGAAAGAGATGATCATCATACTACCGTAACCATATAATATTAGAATCCCAAATAAAATATGGGAGGCTATGAGAGAAAACACCATGAGAAAGAAAAGTCATGAGATCAGAGATCATAAGAGAGGATGGGAGAACCACCAAGAGAGATATATCAAAGATGTGAGAGTGGGGCATGCCCTTTTGGGTCTCTTGAGAGAGAGACATAAACTTTCTTAAGAAATAGGGTTTTTTGCTTAGAGTGGGCTGTGCCCTCCCTTAGATGGATGAGAAAGAGATGGAAAGTTGTGGTAAGATATAAGGTGTAAAGATTTTGGGTAGAAACAATATATTTTTATAATGTTTGATCAAGATTAGGGTTTTCCTTGGCTTGACACTCATATGAGATTTAATATGAACCATTTATCTTGGGTTACTTGTAAGGTAAGAGATCTAAGCTCTCCATTCCATATATGTGCCATCAACAACTTATGGAAAGTGTTAGATCATTATCCCCTAATTCCTAAACTATTTTTCCATTAATTACTTAAAATAAAAATTGATATATCATAATATTATCCTTTCTTATTTGAAGCATAAGTCTTCTCTTACATTCCAAAATATTAATCAAATATTCCTCAAGGCTTCAAAACTTTCCAAAACAACACAAAACCTTATCTCAAGTTGCAAAGCTTGAACACCAATAAGAAAGATGCCATAGGTGGTGCGTGCCACACATGGTGGGTGGCGGATAATGAGCTCCACCCATCATGCAATGGTGGGCCCAAAAGACCTATTGGGCCTCTCATGCATCTTTAATTTATTATATATTTTGGAAATGCACAAAACTAGTATTTGAATATTTAAATGATTATAAGATCAATATATCTGTTTTTATAAATCTAAATTTGATAAATAAAATATCCAGATATTTAGAAAAATTTACATAAAATATAATAAAATATAAATAAAATCAATAAATCTTGATGGGAAAATGATCCATACGGTCTATGAATAAATATCAACTAGGGCACTCCATGTCTCATCGCGAATTACGAATCACGCATGCTTTTTCAAACCGACCTAGCGTTGTTTGTGACCCACAGTCTATGCAGGAGATCATTAGTGGGTCACAAAAGTATAGGCAATGGGCAAGGGGTCGCAGTTCCAGTATATAGATTTCAAGTCCCCCTCGGAGACGAAATGCCAATGTCATCCTCATATTGATGCAATCTATGGCTCGATGGTGCATATGGGGTATATCTCGCACATAAACATACTTCACCCTGAAATGTGGTATGCTTTCCTGACAATGGCTATCGATGTGCATGCTATGTGATAGAACAAATGATGAGGATTTGATCATGTCCTTTAAGGCCTCTATCACACACAAGGGTCGCACAGTCCATTGGCTCACTCATCCGGGCACACTCCAATTTCATCAAGGGATAACCCATATAACCCTCATCGGTACGATTCTCAAAGCTCATAAAACATGGGTTTACTCCAACTAGATTGATTTAGCACATCAAGCATAGTCTAGTATCAGCAAACATCATTAGCTTAGTATGGTCCACAAAGGGCTACACTCCCATTGCGTTCATGTTCTACTATATCATTTCATTTTATAAGCACTCATAAGGCATTTAATGGCCGCACTCACCCAACATATCGAACAGGCCGGCTTCGAGTTGAACCAACCAATATTACATTTACTCCCCCTCCTTAACAAGTAAGCAGAATAGCTATTCCATCATTCTCCATTAAACCATACCATACCATGTAATCATTCATTGAGTACCTATCTTAAAAGTAAAATGTCATCAAACCGCACATGCAATCACTCATTTAAGTGCCATCATCTTAAAAGTTCAATGTAGAATATGGCTTTAGATAAGTAAAATATAGTTGTTTTTCTATCTCTAAAAGGATTTCATATAGTTGAGGGTGGCAGCATGTTGGGTCAGGGCTTATGACCTAAAAGGCCCAACTCGTGCCCAACCAAGGCTCAAGAGCTCGCCTAACCATGGGTCTATGGATCACCTTGCTTGACCCGTTCTCTAGAATTTATTTCCTTACCATACTTTTAAAATAGATCTCGTTCCTCTCATGCATTGGAAGAAGCAATATGTTATCAAGCTATTCTATTGGGAATAATGAGTACATTTCCAAATACTCAAAGTTTCATATCAAAAGCAAGTTTTCAAGAAACCACAAGATTGTTAATGAGTTCAAAAAGTTCCATATCAAAAGCGAGTTTAATGAAACCCACTCTCCAAGGTTGATTGATAAGTTGAAAGACCTAAAAATGAATATTCTTCTAGGGAGATGATACCTATTGGTATCAGATTCAAAGTTTGCTCGCAAAAATCCTATTAGTTATTTGGGTGAAAAAACATTAGACATTCAATATTCTAAAAAACATTTTAGATAATATTGTAATGAGTTTTTTATATATGAAACAACGCTATCTCCTATGCTCCAATATGTTTTTGTATCTCCTATATCCTCTCCCCCATATGGATTTTATCTCAGAATTGTATATTATCGTACGTCATTTTTTGTCGTGCTTGTATCCCCGGTACGAATAAGAAGAGAGCCAGTAGCAACCTAGTCCTATCAGTACCCAAGACACCGCTAGACCATGGGAACTCTACAAAAAAAAGCCAAAAACTTGTCAATGTCTCAAAGAGTATTGAAATGGCTTCAAAATGCATGAAAATGGTATTTGGGATGCCCGATTCTCATAAAGTTTTCGTCACATTCTGATGACATGATCAGAACGAAATTTGGTTTTCAAATCCAGTTTCTATCATGTTGAAAAGTGGACATATAACTATAGCCCTAATTTGTGGGTATCAAAATAGTACCTGACTGCCACCATTATATCTGGAATGTCGAAAAACCCCTAGGTACCAAATTATGGCTCAATCAGATACTCTAGAACCATTATGGGTGTAACTTACTATAAAATGGTGGGTTTTACACTATCGCGGTGCAGCCTCAGCGAATTAGTTTCCATAGTCTTCTCATTTAGAGTGATCATATCTTGCTCGTTTTTTGTCAAATTAAGCTCAAATTTAGATACAAGCTAGATTTTGATGACCATACTATTTTGACATAAAACATGCATCTTGACGTGTTTTAAAGTGAGAGAATTTCTAGATAGAAGATATGCTCATAAATATGCAAATTCATAAAAAAACATCAAAACCTTTGGAAGGCCATAACTTATGATTCCAATAAAGAATTATCACAAAAACGGGTCCGTTGTGACCGTGTGTCGAAGCGCTATAGTTTGGTATAAGTTTTATGCGAAAATCGGAAGCCGGATGTTGCAAATTTGAAAGATGAAGAAATGCACATTTTTCAAGTCGCAGGAATCCCATTTTCCGGCGACATCCCGAATTTGGAAAGAGCTCAATTCTAGACCAAAACGGACGAAAATTATTGCAAAATGATTGTAACACTGTCCTTTACAAATTGTGACAAAAATGAAGACTTGGAACATCACAAATCAAGCAACATCGATGGTTAAAGATTTGTAAAGTTTATGAACTTGGCCGGATTTTGGGTTATTCTTAAAAAAATTGTTTCAAGACGATCAAAGGGTATTAAAACGTTCACAAGAGTTCAAGCATCGACTCTGTGACGATTAATCGTCCAAATTAACATCGTCGGTGTCCAAAAAACCTCCCAAAGACTAGCCATAGCAAGAGGCCCCTCATAGAAGGAAGGTTTTGTTATTTGTTGAAAAGTGCTTCGGGGCAGTTTGGTCATTTGGTCTAATTACGACATGATTTTTTTAATTCATTAATTCTGTATTTTTTGACAATTTGGGGTACTTTTGAGCATTCCGCCCCCGTTTAGTGATTGCTCTATGTAAGGAAGCCCTATCACTTGTAAGAGAGGTTGGTTGGTCTTTGGAATTTGTCTTGAAATTTTGAGAATTGAAGGCTTGGAGAATTTTTGCCTTTTGAGTTATTTATTTTGGCAATTTGTGAGTATTTTGGAGGGAATTTCGGTCTATTCTCTTTGCTGCGCACACACGTCCAAGACTAAGAGAGCGGGGAAAGAAACATTTGGTAGAAGGAAAAATACCCCTAAACCACCATACACTACCCACATCATTTCGGTATTAAATTTTGCGTACGAAAATTTGTGCCGCAAATTTTATTGTTGGTTTTGGAAATTGATTTTAAATCCATCATGAAGATTTTTGTTGGATAAAGATTCGACGTGGAGCTTTATTTTGTTTTTATTTAAGCCATCTATAAACTTTATCCCTTAAATAATAAAATATTTTTAAATTTTAATAACAAAGTAAAATTTTTAATAATTTTTCCTTTTCAATATAGGATTGTATGTAATGAGACTATTACCTTTGATATAATAAGGTCACGAGTCTCCTTATAAGCATATCCATATTTCATCTGATGATTACAAGGAATTGTGGAATATAAAGCCCTCTGATTCATTGTCTCCTCAATTGAGGAGTGGGTTTAGAGAGAGACAGAGATGGATCGCATTCTGAAAGCTGCGAGGAGCTCAGGCTCTCTCAATCTCTCCAATCGCTCTCTCAGGTCTCTCTTTCCTGCCATTTCTATTTTCTCTCCTCTATCTCTGCCATTTCTATTCCCAGTTCATTGAATGCAGGCATTAACAAATTCCATGTTCAAAATTTCTCAAATTTCGAAAAATAAGATGGTTCCACTGTACGGAAAAATTGTGGATTCAAACCCTGTTCCTTGATCCCCTTTATCGCAAATTGCTCTGAATGTTTCTATTTTGGAAATCTCTGTGATTTTTCTTGCGTTCCTGTAATTGCTTAGCTCTGTCCCTCGTTCTCTTTCTCTGTCTCTCTACTTCACTGACTTGAACACACATTGCTTACCTCTCTCTCTCTCTCTGTTGGATAAACTGTTTTACAAGATGGGATGTCATATAGTGCTTAGCAAGGCACAATTGATCCATAAAATGCAGAACGTTGTAATTGATCTTTCTTTTCAAGGCTTACTACTGGTCAAGTAAGAATAGCTCATTGGGAGAAAATTTCATACCAGTAGAAGCTTTAAACTGTTGACTTGAGAAAACCATAGAAGCATGTTTTGGCAATAATGGGTCACGTTGAGAATTCATTGGTTGCATTTCTGAAATTCGTAGTCTTTTCAATTATCGATTTCGGTTGTGTATAATTTGTTTGTCTTTATAATATTTTGCATCCAATTTGTTGGGGCATGGGGACCCTGATTCCAGGCTCTAAGATGGCAAACCGATCTATTGCAAGTACGGGAAAATATATGAAAGTTATGTTTTTTTTTTTTTTTTGATCAATAAAAATTAGAGCTATGCTTTTAATGTTGAGTTCGTTATGTTTGGCATGGTTATTAACACCAAGAATGAGCTACTTTCAACAAAATTTATATAAAAAATATTGCTAGAGAAAGCCGGGATTTTTGTGTTATGATATCCAGAAATCAAATTATCGATTTTTCACATTTCACCTGACCACGGTCTTTTAATCTTTTAATTTTGATAATTATGGTCGAGTTTGTTTTGTCAGGGAACTGCCAAATGAGGTTTATAGAAATTTGGAGGGGGTTGGGGAAGGCGATAAATGGTGGGAGGTATTATTTAACTTCTCTCCAATCCCAAAGCATATGCATTTATGAAATTGCGTGCTTTTACAAGTTTGGCTTGGTCTTTGTAGTCCGTGAATAATGTATAAGTAATCAAGTCTTCTAACAGGAGGTAATGATGCAATGTTTTGTAGGCTGTGGAGCTACAAAAGCTTATACTAGCTCACAATAATATCGAGGTCTTACAAGAAGATGTAAAAAATTTATCCATGTTAACTGTTTTGAACATTAGCCACAACAAGCTTTCTCACCTACCAGCAGCTGTAGGACAGTAAGTAGTTTGTTACGTTTGCTGAGTTTAGGTGGCATTCTAAAATATACATGTCTCTTGGTTTTCTTTTTCTTTCTCACCATGTCAAGTTTATCTTTTATTTACAAGTTATTGTGTGATTGACAGGCTCACTGTTCTTAAATTACTTGATGTTTCATTCAACTCAATCAAAAGTATACCCGAAGAGATTGGCTCTGCAACTTCTCTAGTCAAGTGCGTCCCATCTCGATTTTCCATCCATGAATTGGGATTCTTTATATTCATCTGCTGATGGATGCCGTCCAAATATGTATAATGTCCCTCCAACATATTTGTAGATCAATTTTAACTTTGTGGATATAGGAAGAATGATTTTATGTTGTTTCAGGGTTGGTCTTCAGAAATCCTATGTGTATTTGACTGATTATACTAACTGTATGTTTTTAAAATGAATGTAGGCTTGATTGCTCGAGCAATATACTAGAAGAACTTCCTGGGAGTCTTGGAAGATGTTTAGAATTGTCAGAGCTGAAGGTATTATTTTACTCCTATAAGACTAATAGGGGTATCTAATTCTCCAGTTCCATGGATGATATTAAGGAATATTTATTATTAGACATCTTCTGCCATGTTTCACAAGAATGTCAATGTTTTATCCATTTCTAAGATTGGGGAAATCAGATGCAATGGATGTAATAGAATGTTGACTAGGGGCTTTTTGTTCAGTGGAAAAGTGGATAGCTATGTTGGCCAAACACTGACCTGGAGTATTGTGTCTGGCATGCATCATAAGTGTTAGTACTTTGGCCTAAAAAGCCACTACATCATGACACATCCGTATAATTATAATTTTTTCATAAAACAATGTAGTTTTCATATATGGGTAATAAATGGTTAAGGCTTCAAGCAATGGGACATCACAAAGGAGGGCAGGCCTCTCTCCTAGGCTGAAAGCTTCTAAGAGGACAACTTAAACAAATTACCTGTCTTTGCTCCACAAGGAAGACATATACTGGTTCCAGCAATCTCAAATTTGGCGATCTCAATACCGCTGGTTTTCACAAGATCGTGAGCTGTTGCCGTAGAGATAATACCATCACACAAATTAAAGTGGGGAACCTTTCTCTTGATAGAAAATGCTATTCTGCAATTCTTTTCTGACCTCTTTATTGCCACACCTGGTCCCAGGCCCTATATGGCAGATATGTTTTTTTGCAACCTTACCCCTAGACTAGGCTTCCTGGCTAGAACGGCCCTTCTTGGAAACGGAGATCCTCAAGTCCATTAAGGACCTTGGGCAGGACAGAGCCCTAAAGCCCTGATGGATTTCCAGTTGCCATTTCCAACAGCTTCTGAAGCTCCTTCCGGCATGACCTCCTCTCGTTCTTTGAGGAGTTCTACTCCAGAGGTATCATTCATGGGGCCATGAATGCCACATTCATTGCCCTTGTCCCTAAGAAAGAAGGGGCATAGAAACTCAAGGAGTTTAGGCCAATCAGCCTGATTAACAGCTCGTATATAATTATTTCCAAAGTCCTTGCATCCTGTCTCAAAAGAGGTACTTCATTGGGTAATCTTGGCACACCAAGGGGCTTTTATCAAAGACTGCCAAGTACTCGACAGCGCCTTCGTCACCCACGAATGCATCCACTCGCATCATCTCTCAAGGTTGTCGGGAGTCGTCATCAAGCTTGATTGGGAAAAGGCCTATAACCAAGTGGATCGGGCACTTCTAGACGATACCTTGTATCACATGGGCTTTGGAGTCCGCTGGAGGAACTTCTAATCCCTTCTTCTCAGTTCTCATTAACGGTTCTCTCAAAGGATTCTTCCCCTCCTCCCGTGGCCTTAGACAAGGCGACCGTCTGTCGCCCTTTCTCTTTGCCATAATAGGGGAGGTTTTCAGCATGTCCATTACTAGAGTGTACCAACATGGTTTCATTGATGGCTCCAGGATTTGGGTCCACGGGCCCAACCATCGCCTACCTCCAATACGCAGATGACACACTCCTCTTCTGTGGGACTTTGCAACCCCAAATTGACACGTTGTGGTTGTTCCTCAAGCACGCCATTGGTTTTAGGGTGAATATGAACAAAACCAAGATGATTGGGGTGTTTGTGTCCACCGAACTCGCAATAATCCAAGACCTGGCTGAGCGCTGGGGTTGTGAAGCCCAGTCCCTACCCTCCACCTATTTAGGGATACCACTATGCATCGGTAATCCCCAAACCAGCCAATGGAACCACCCAATCGACAAGTTCAATAGAAGATTCGCTAGCTGGAAAGGTAGGTTTCTCTTGCGCGGTGCAGATCACACTAATCAAATCTACTCTTTCTGATGTCCCCATATTTCAGATGTTGCTTTCCATGTGCCTGCAAAGGTAGCCCATTGCCTTGAATAGCTGATATGCAACTTCCTATGGTCGGGGGACAAAGAAAGCAAAAAGTTCCACCTCATTTCTTGGGATAGAGTGTGCTTACCTAAAATCTAGGAGGGCTGGGCATCTGCCACCTTAAATTGAACAATATTGTCCTTCTAGGCAACTGGTGGTGACGCTTGACCACCCTGGAGCGCCATCTGTGGCAAGTCATCCTTCGATGCAAATACTATCTCCCCTTCTCCGAATGGTTACCTTCTGGCAGGCCTCTTGGTCGTACCTCAAGGGTGTGGAGATCCATCCTCCACTGCTTGCCTCAATTCAAAGCCTACATCATATTCCGTCCTAGGGAAGGTGGACACGTGAGATTCTGGTTGGATCTCTGGCTTGCTAACTCCACCGTCATAGAGTGGTACTCAGACCGTTCAGAATTGCTAGCCTGGGCCAAGGATTCATGGCAGATCATTTTGATTCCCTGGGCTCTGCTAGAATTTGGGACTCCAGGTTCCGGAGGGCCCTAATGGATGCTGAGTTGATCTACTTCCTTAACATGTCCTCCCTTCTCCTCACTGTTTTCCTCCCCTCTCAGGGAGCTGATGGCATCATATCGACTCTTACCACCTCAGTTCTCTTCTTAGTCTCGTCCTTCTATTGGAAACTACTGTTGGGCCCTACCTTCCGCAATATTCCTCACTCCATCACTTCTAGGACCTGGTTCCCCTTCATTCCACCTAAGATCCAGGTGTTCAACTGGATAGGCCTTGCCCAAAGAGCCTTAACTGTAGATCAACTCCAAATCAGGGCCCTCCCCATTCCCAACAGGTGCACTATGTGCATGGAGGATGAAGAGACCAATGCACACATTTTCATTTATTACAAGCTGGCAACATAACTGTGGGGGGACGTACTACAGCTCTTCAACTGGTATTGGGTAACCCCCGAAAATGTCCCCAGTTATTTGGCTCCCTTTACCCCTTCCCTTGTAGCAAATCGGGGATCTTACTTTGACAAGCAGCAGTCGCTGCTACTCTGTGGGTCCTGTGGACTGAGCGCAACAATAGAATCTTCTGGGGTGTCTCTTCCACACCTTTGGTCTTGCATAGAAAGAGAATGGAGCTCATCATTTTCTGGGCCACGAATAGCCCAGCTTTCAAATTCTTCTCACGCACAGACTTTCACCTCAATTGGCAAGCCTTGCGGTACCTTTCTCCTTCTTGCAATTCCTGGGCTTCCCTTTGGAGACCCCCTGTACTGGGGCAAATCAAACTAAATTTTGATGGGTGCTCTTAGGCAACCCGGGCCCAGCTTGGATTGGGGGCATATATTGGGACCACGAAGGCTGAACCCTTTTCTCCTTCTCCAAGTCCATAGGACAATCTGACCCTACCACCGCTGAAGCAATTGCTCTGCTTGAAGGCCTTTGTAACTTTCAAAGTTCCTGGGCTTGCATCCTTATCGTAGAGGGAGATTCCAGTAATGTCATCCAATGGGCCTTGGGCTCTTTGGCCAGTCCATGGAGATTAGCGCATATTTTTGACGATTCCCACCTTTCCAGCATGATTCTTGTCTCTTGGATGCACATGTGGTGGGAAGCAAATGCTACAGCAGATAATCTTGCTAAAGAAGGGACTCATCTTGGTGTGACTTCCTTGGGATCCTTCCCCGCCCTCTTCTATAAGCCTCCTGCTTAGTTTTTGCCATTTTGTATAGGCCTGTGGCTGACCACTTTATTTCTCTTGTATAGGGGTCCCTGAGAGGGTTTTCCGTGTACGGTGCCCAGTTGGTGGGTGGTCATTTTTTGCGTGGTCATTTTTTGTAACTTGTACTAAGTTCTTTTAATACAAAATTAAAATTTTCTCTCTCGCTTTCTCTCTCTGTAATACACACACACACACATACACATATACAAACACCTAACTATGGTTGGTTGGTGCAGCGGTAGACTCCAGGAAATTGGTACAAGATGTCTTGGACTTTTGGTTCAAACTTTTTTGCTAGGTCATTTTTTGTAACTTGTACATCTTTTAATAAGGTCTTTTAATACAAAGTTAACATTCTCTCTCTCTCTCTATAATATATATACACACACACACACACCCACATATACACACACCTAACCATGGTTGGTTGGTGCAGCGGTAGACTCCAGGAAATTGGTACAAGATGTCTTGGACTTTTGGTTCAAACCCAAGCCTTGTGCTCTATATACTCTTTTATTGTGCCCATGTTTGGAAGTGTGGGCATGGTGTCTAAGTGTGAACAGCTGTGCAGCAGCAAAAATGAAGTGTCTATGTAACATATTGTTGGAAATGAAAGGAGTAAGCTTTATTGTATTTGATAGAACTTTGATTTATCTTTTATTTATTCCTTATTTGTCTTATGTCTCTAAATAAGGGCAGTATTGTCTATAAGTTGTAATTAGGATTATTACTTAATGTTATCAGAGGAGTATAGGTCACAAGTGACCTCTAAGACACTCATTGTCCCTCTCTCTCTCTCTCTCACATGTCTCTCTCTTCTTCTTCTTCATCATCATCATCATCTTTATTTTGTTTCCTCTCTCTCTCTCTTTCTCTAGATCCTACAAAATTGTTTTCTTCTCTACTTTAATTTCAACTCATAGGTGATTATAGAGACTAAGGTGTGGTCATTATGTTTTCTGAGGACGGTGTGGGATCAATAAATAACTAAAAGTGTTGGAATGCAAATACTACTTGAGATTAGACCCATAGAAACATGCTGTGATTCACAAATTCTGCTATCTTTGAGTCTTAGATATTTCAATAACTCCTGCAAAATGTTTAGCTCTCTTAGTGGTCTACTTGGATGATTTCTTTCATATGTACCCAGATTATCCTAGAAGTACAGTCCAATCACCAAACTGAATCTGTTTGAAATATATTTCCTGGCCATGTTTTCATATTGTTCTTATTATTTGGTGATAAAAAATAAAAGGTTCGCTTGAAATGTGTGTACTTTTGAGTTTGTCAAGTCTTTCTTCGATATCAGAACTTGTGCGGCTATTGAGTTTCTTGGTACTTTCTCTTTCTTTTTGTTCTACCAAGAGAAACTTTGGGTCTTGAGAAGCTGAAGTATATTTTATATGCTTCTCAGGCATCGAACAACCACATCACTAAGTTGCCAGATGATATGGTGAAGTGTTCCAAGTTGATAAAATTGGATGTGGAGGTATTCTCTTGGTTTTTTAAATTTCTTTGATCATAAGGAGCACTGGCATGATTGCCAATAATATTCCTCTATATGCTAGGGGAACAAGCTAACAACAATTCCTGAGCATCTGGTTGGATCATGGACCTCCCTGACTGAGCTAAATGCTGGTAATCTCCAATAATGTATTATGTCAATGTCTGTTTAGATTACTCATACTTATTTTTGTATTGTGTCTGGTAATGCCAATACTTGTCCTTTGTACCCTGTTCAGCGAAAAATTTGCTTGGTAGTATTCCTGACAACATTGGGGTCCTCTCTCGACTTGTTCGACTTGATCTTCATCAGAACAGTAAGTGGGACATCTCTGGCCCTTTTTCTCCTTTTTTCCTTGTTTTCCATATTTGCAGCCTTTATCTTATTTTATGAATTTGCTTTTTGTAGGATTTAGCAGTACCTCTCGTACTTAGAACTGAAATATTAATTAGTGAGCCAGAAAGACTTGGGTTGAAAAAATGGTTAATTCAGCAAATGATGAAATGCACATAGATGTTGACTGATATTTTTGAGTGGATTTATGTGCAACATGGTTGGTTGTTGCAAGACAATATTTTCAATAGGAGGTTACTGGGTCAATTCTTATTCTGATCTTGGTGAGCAGATCATTCATAATTTATTTCTGTATGTTAGACTTAAATTCCAAGAAAATCGGGAAGTGAAAGTGATCGAGAACTTATTGATGAAAACCATCATGTATAATTCATTAGTTAATGAAATGGCAATTTAATTAAATAATTGGTTATTATTAAAACGACAAGTTCACTTCTTCTTTTTTCTGAAATTTAGAATATGAACTGGTAGTGGCATGCTTTTTACCTTGCTTTGAGGCATGATGACTGCAATTCACTACATTTTATTCTCCTAATTTGTAGGAATCTCATCAATACCGTCATCTATAATGGGTTGCTCTTCACTTTCAGAGCTTTATTTGGGGTTAGTTTGTGGCTTTACTAAATTATGTTGTACTACCATGGGATATACATCTGGAGTTTGATTTTTTATTTTAATATTATATATCACTGCGTTTTTCAGGAACAATCTGTTGTCCACATTGCCTGTGGAGATTGGTGCTCTTTCTGTGCTAGCAACCTTGGATCTTCACTCGAATAAGGTTCTCTGAGTATTTTTGTTTAACAATTCGAAGATGTAACTGCTTACTGATTTTTGGAGGTATTTGAAGCAAAATATTTTAGTGTTCCAGCTGTCTACACATTGCACATATGATCTGTTGAAATACATGCTCATTTTCGATTCTTTTGAAAGTCAAGCTTAATCAATATAGTTAGAGGGGAGAAAATTTGCTTGTGGTTGTCTTTGGTCATGTATTTCAAGGTACTGTTACATACAATTTTTGTTTCATAAGTAAACTTGATGCAGGGAGAAATAGAAATTGGAACAATAAAAACAACAAAAGAAAAGGTTGAGAGAATATACCCTATCTCAAGGTCTGCAAGGGAATCTACCCCAAAAACGATCTTTTCACAATACCAAATTTACTCAATTCTCGTTGTCTGCTCTTTACAAAGAAGGGACATCTCCCTTCGAATAAACTTTAGAAGAAAAAAACCCACAAAGATAATTCTCTCTTCTACTTACTTTCCCCTATTTTATCTCTATCCCTATTTTCTCTCTCACTTTTTCTCTCTCCCATATACCATTCGTATTTCTCTCTCACTTTTTTCTTTCCCACGTACCATTCCTATTTCTCAATCTTTAACATGGTTGATCTTCTCCATATCTAAATCCCTTGTCTTTCTCCTATCTAAATCCATCTCTATTTAAATCTAACTAAATCTCCTACCAAGATTATTTCCTATCTAATCCCCAAAATTCTCTTAACAACTCACGCACCTTCTCCCACTTAACACAAAGTCACGCATCAAAATTTCCCTCCTCCCACTTTAACTCATCCTCTCTCTCTTTCTATTCTTAAGGAAAATAAAAAAAGAATAATAAAATAATAAAATAATAAAATAATAAAATTAAAACAGCCCCAATTTTATTTGCATCATTCTTCTTGAGTTGGGAGAAGCTCGACTTTGAGCTTATAGAACTTACATATTTTAGAGGCCGTTTTGCAAGTTGGTGATGTAATCCCATCATGCACCTCGACACTTTTTCTTCAATTTCTTCATTAATCTGATTCATCGAATGCTTCGTGTTTATCTTGAAGTAGACTATAGTAAACTATGGCTCAATCTTGATTTTTCCTTCAGACTCAATTGGTTGGATTTCGAATACTGCATCACATATATCTTCTTCTTCGTAATTGATTTCAAAATTTCTTGCACATTGGGGTTATCGGTGCCATCTTTTGTATCGAGATCTACCTCTTCTTATTCTTGTTCTGCTTGTTCTGATTGCAATCTATGAAATAGATCTCGTAGACATTGTTTTACTACTTTGCTAATACGCTCTACTAGTACTTCTTTGAGTCCATCAAAGATTTGATCGAAGCTCTCCATAGCTAGATCAGGGATCTTAAGGCTTTGATACCAACTGATGTTGGGAGAAAATAACAGGATAGTAAAAATAAAAAAAAAATTGGTCGAGAGAATATACCCTCTCTCAAGGTCTGCAAGGGAATCCACCCCAAAAAGATGTTATCACAAGATCAACTTTACTCAATTCTCAATCTCTGTTCTTTATAATGAGGGACTTCTTCCCTTTTAATAGACTTTAAGAAAAAAATAAACAAATAAATAAAAACCCAAAATAAATAAAACTCTCTCTCCCTCTCACGATGTCTTCTCCCTATTTTCTCTAAATCTCTTTTCCCTATTTTCTCTCATCTATACGAGCATCCATATCTCTCACTTATCCTTTCCATATCTAAATCCATCTCTATCTAAATCTTCCATAAATCTCTAAGTAAATCTTCTATCAAGATTACCATTTCAAGATTAGTTCATATCTATTCCCCAAAATCCTCTTAACAACTCACGCACCTCCTCCCTCTTAACATAAAGTCAAGTACCAAAATTTCCCTCCTCCGACTTAACTTTATCCTTATCCTAGCTCTCTTCCTATTCTTAATTAAAAATAAAAAATAAAAAAACTTCAAATTTTATTTGCATCATTCTCCCCAGGTTGGGAGAAGCTCGACCTCGAGCTTATAGATCTCAAATATTTTAGAGGCATTCTCTAAAGTTAGTGATGTAGTCCCACCATGCGACTCGACACTTTTTCTTCAATTTCTTCATTAAGCCGAGTTATCAAATGCTTCGTGCTTATCTCTTTTTCTTCAATTTCTTCATTAAGCCGATTCATCAAATGCTTAGTGCTTATCTCGAAGTAAAACACAATGATGTCGGGCTCAATCTTAATTCTCCTTCAGACTCACTTGGTTGGATTTTGAATACTGCATCACACATATTTTCTTCTTCATAATTGATTTTCAAAATTTCTTGCACATTGGGGTTATCGGCATTGTCTTTTGTATTGAGTTCTACCTCTTCATATTCTTGTTCCTCTTGTTCCGATTGAAATCTATGAAATAGATCTCTTAAACATTATTCTATTAATTTGCTACTAGGTCTTCTCTGAGTTTATCAAATCTTTTGATCAAAACTCTCCATAACTAAATCTGGGATCTCAAGACTCTAATGCTAACTGATGCGGGGAGAAATACCAACAGATGCAGGGAGAAATAGTAATTGGAATAATAATAATAAAAAAAAGGGTTGAGAGAAGGGACATCTCCCTTTAAATAAACGTTAGAAGGAAAAAACCTACAAAGATAATTCTCTCTCTCTTCAACGTACTTTTTCCTATTTTCTCTCTCCTTCCTATATTCTCTCTCCCACGTACCATCCATATTTCTCAATCTTTATCATGGTTGATCTTTCCCATATCTAAATCCCTTATCTTTCTCCTATCTAAATCCATCTCTATTTAAATCTAACTAAATCTCTTGCCGATATTTCCTTCCAAGATTAGTTTCTATCTAATTCCCAAAATTTTGTTAACAACTTACCCACCTCCTTCCACTTAATACAAAGTCACACACCAAAATTTCCCTCCTCCCACTTTAACTTATCCTATCTCTCTTCCTATTTTTAAGGAAAATAAAAAAATAATAGTAAAATAAAAAATTAAAACAACCCCAATTTTATTTGCATCAAAACTTGTGTATAAGTGGAAATTTATTTTGGCAAGTTTCGATAGGCTTCTTTTCCTAATTTCAATTAGAAGGAAACAAATTAATTACAATTTTCTTTCATTAGTTTCTTTGTTGAGGTGGTCAGATGGGATTTATACTCAGTACCACAGTGTTATGGCACTTGCGCATTATCCTCTAAGCCAATAGGCTAGACCCCACTTCTACCATTAGGTTTACTATGTCATTTTTCAAGCCAAATCCAACCACCAATGTTCGAATTATTCATGTGAATTCTGTAACTACTTTTCTCTTCTCTTTGCTTTCCTGAAAATCCATGAATCTATCAACTATTAACATTGCCTGAGATGTGAATTACAACTTGTTCTCAAAAATTCTAATATCCTATTAGTCCAGATTCAATTTTGGCACAAATAGATCATAGTTTGGTGATTGACTTGTACTTCTGAAAATGAATGGGAAGTGATAATGCAAGACCTTTCATCTTTCAGGCATTAACCTTTTTCTGTTTTTTCAGATTGAAAAAAATTATCTTATTTCTTATAACGTTTATTTGTATTTTCTTGCATTTATTTTCCTCTTAGTTGTGACATAATGAGCTTGTATTCTAGTGGAAGTACTTATTGTTGGAAGAATTGTTGCAATAATGGACACACTAGCTAATGGTGGGGCGGGAAACTATTTTGATTTAGCAGTTTTCCCTGATCGGTCACTGAGATGCTACCTTGGCATCTCGCTGTGTATTTTATTTGTTTTCTTTTCACTTTTTCCTACATTGAGATGTTACCGATCAAAAAACTAAAAGTAAAAACTTTCAATATGTCCATCTCTATTTTTAGTTTAGTCCAGCATTGTTAGGACTGGACTGGTTACCTTAACGGTAGGGCACCAGTTGGGTCAGACCAGCTGGTCAAGAACAGTTCACCAGTAGGATTAGTGTACTAATTTCAAAAGTTATGGAAAATAAGAAGATACCCAAAAAATAAGGAAAATTATGGAACAAGAAAAGATCCAGAAAATTTAGAAAAAAGTTCAGTTCAAGATTTTCCATAGTTGCGTTTTAGCATTAAAGAAACAAAAAGCGGTATAAAAAATTCCATTTTTCTCATAAAGAAAAAACTGAAATTATCCAACATCCATGATACAGAAAAAAAATTCATCTAACATTATTCTCTTTAGTTGCATTTATGTATTAAATAACCAAAAATAAAAATAAAAATGAAGACATAACCACAAAAACACCAATTTTTATGCATAAAACAAGAAAAAATTGCATGGAAGATACAATCTATGCAAAAAGCCAAAAACCAACAATATTGAACTTTTCTAAATCTAAAACAACCATAGACAGGAAAGAAAAATCGTTTCCCTAAAATGCAGAATATATTCCTACTTTTTTCCAAAAAGAAAGAAAACAATAAAAAAGTGGGTAGATGAAACTTACTTCATCATCATCATCAGAGCCTTTTCTCTACTATTTGGGGTCGGTCACGCGAATCCTGGTTCATCATTCTTAGGATTCATGGAAAGTTTTGGCAAAATTTTATGTTAGTTGCCTATCTAATACAACCACTCCCTTTACCCAGGCTTGGGACGGTTAAGGGAAAGTTTAAAGTTTTCATCCATCTTAGACCATTAATTAAACTTACTTGAGGATGCCAAATGATCTCTCTCTCTAAAAACAATCTATTTACCACCAAGACAACCCTGATGACATAAAACTACCCAAACACCCCCAGAAGAAAGTAAAAAGGATACAAAAATAAAATGCACTAAAAGGCATTTTTTTCTGGAAAAATTTTTTTTTTTGGTAATTTTGACGGCCCCATTGGGATCAGTCAGTTTGGTCCTGGAGTCATGGACCAGCTGGTCAGGATATTGGACCTAGTCCAGACGATCTGGACTGGGCGATCCTCTGGTCTAATCTAGACGTTTTGGACCGGCCGTTCCTCCGGTCCATGACCAGTTCGATGGACCAGCCGATCCAGGGTGCTGACAAGATTGGGAGGGCATCGGTGCACCGGTTATGGTGCTAATCGGGTCTTTGCATTATTGGTCCTGTCTATGAGTACTAACACAGTTTTGGGAAGTTTTCCATCAACTGATGACCCTTGAAATAATGTTTTATTTTCTGGAAACGACAAAAAAGGCATTTTATATCTCTTTCGTTATGTGAATATGTGCTCTTATGTCGTCCATTACTAAGGTTTGCTAAGTTTCCTTCAAGTAATTGTGCTAAAAATAGTACAAATTACTTTGTTGTCTGAACATAATTCGAAGCTTCAAAATTAAAAATCCAACAAATATGCATGTGCTACAATTATCCTATGTGTGTTGCTTGCATGTTCTCATCTTTAGGTTTTTAACCCTTGAATACTTAAGATATGAATCTCCTTTATTCGTCATTGCATTGTTTATATTGAGTGGGGAACATGCAACTCTTCTTTGATGTTATGTGATTGTTTCATAATGCAGCTGAAGGAGTATCCTGTGGAGGCATGCAAACTTCATCTCAGAGTCCTAGATCTGTCAAATAACTCATTGTCTGGTTTGCCACCAGAAATTGGTAATCTTTCTTTATGTTACCCATAATTGCAATTGGTGCAACAGACTTCCATGTGCTTTTAACTTTATCTATGAAAACCCGTGTTAGAAAATTCGGATGCTTGGCCTCCTAGATGACCCAGGCAGGCCACCGCACCTAAGGGTCCTAGGCACCTACCTTTTTCCCTAGGCGGACTTAAGGCAGATCTGTTGCCTTTTGCCCTAGGTGGACTTAAGGCAGCTGTGTTGCCTTTTGCCCTTAGCGGACTTAAGGCAGATGTGTTAGCCTGCCTCACATTCCCCTTAAAAAAATGGAAAATAAAAGGAAAAAAACAAGAGGAGGAGGAGGAGGAAAAGGAAGAAGAAATAGACGATGAAAAAATAACTATAATAGGAAAGTTATTGAAGGAAATGACACACCATGGATACAAGCTAGGTTTTTGTCTCAGTAACCTCAGCTAGAGAGAAGAGAGAGATGGGTTTTGAGAACGAACCATGGCTACAAGGTAGGGGTTCATCTCTGCATCTTTGGCTAGAGAGTAGAGAGAGATTAGGGTTTTGAGAATGAATGACGATTTCAAGAACTGAAGAAGAGGGCGACTTTCCCGAGAATTACCCCTTTCTTTCTATCAAATATAAATTCATCTAAATTTTTTGGAAATACCAGGAAGACCTGTACTTTAGGGGAGATTACCTACTTTCACCATGTTAATTATTAATTAGAATACACATTTTCCTAATGTTAAACATAGACCCGTTTTCCTATCATTAATCAGTGAGTACACTCATAGAACTCTCTCTTTCTCTCTAAAGAGAGAGAGAGAGAGAGAGAGAGAGAGAGAGAGAGAGAGAGAG